TGGTTCACACATCTGTTTACACAATGATGATTTTTATTTTGATTACTGGGAAAAGTTCAGAATTGCGTCCCACACACAAATGCCTATGTTTTTAAATTTTGGGAGTAATAGTACGTCCTTCCATCTGATTAAATGCACAATGTCAAACTGCCGATCAGATTTTAACTCAGTATTTTAACATATCTTGTGCAGATCATTTGTTTTTTTTACCTGCTGCCATTTGTGCCTAGAACACTGAGAGTAGCTTTATGATTTTATAAAATGCAGAATCAATGCACTAAATCAGTGCTCATACCGTCTTCAATCCTTTTTTTTAGAAGCTTGAATGTCTTAATGCAAACACTATAATTGCGGTAGTAAATGAAATCAGTGCAATGTTATACTCAGGGCTGTTGATCCTCTCTTGTGCTGGATTTGTGTGCATCTTTCTCTTATACTGTGCAAAATGAAAATGTCTCAGGTTTGTATTTTTGTATAAGCCTGTTTATTATGTGAAATGATGTGTAACACTGCACATCTGCACCATGCCAACATTTAATGTGATGATTGTTTATTAAAGTTATACAGTTGTGCCAGCACAGTCCTGTTTTTAATCTTTCCTTGTGTGATGGTGACTCTTGTTGCAGCTGATGTGCGCTCTGTGTTGGAGGTTCAAGTCTCTACGCATGACCCAGCTCATTGTATATTAAAGCAATAATATTCCCACTTTAAAAATGTCATAATGCATGGAGGATAGAGCTAGCTCAACCCTTTCAGGCATAGTGGTCACTGCAGTGGACAGCTATTTAAAAGCAATTTTCTTGTATATGCATGGGTTTTGATGTTGTAGTTGGATTTAAGTCACTATAGTGGACCCTTGTGTACACTGCCACACACTGGCCAGGTGTTGTCAGTGCAACACAAATCTCTCAAAACCAAAATGGCCGACGGAAAGCAAGAAATGTTGTGCAGCTCAAGAATATCTTGCCAATCCTTCTATAATAGGAGACCCTGGTAAATAAAAAAAAATCTGGCGATATCAAGTAACATCTAAGGAGTAATACTGTTGCTAAATTTTCCAAGTATTAATTTTATGCTGTGAGAAAACTGCAATTAATCATCTGTCCACTACAATTAATAAATAAATTACTGCAACCTTGTTCTTGAAAATACCTTATGTGCAGTGATGTTCTAAGCTCTAAATCAATTGATTTAAGTTATTAAAATGCCATTTACAGTTTTTGTAACAGAAACAATATTTTGGAAAGAGGGAGGGGGTAGGTACAGGAGGGAGGAGTTTGTTTGTTCGTTTGTCATTTTTATTTCAAATATGTAACAAAAATATCAACAAGCCCTCCCAAATCATGCAAAACAAGTCAAGTGAGCCATGATATTAGAAAACAGAAAATAGAAGAGAGAAAAGAAAGAAAAAAAGGCCTGTAAACATATTGAAAAGGAGTGACAGGAAGTAAAACTCATTAATCCCCACCCCTTTTCCAAAAATAAAAATATTTATAAATGCATACATACTAATTAGCTTCTTCACATACAAACATATACCGATGCACACTTGCATAAATAAGATACAATGTGATTACCGCACAATTACTATGTGCATTTGTGCAACGCATGCAATATGCGTTGCCTTACACTGAGCAAAGATCTTATATATCTCATCAAAATTTATTAATAATAAAATAACTATAATTCATCATTAATCCTGAATAAATAGTTATTCCACAACTTTGAATATATAATTTCAACAACACAATATATGTATATATGACACTATACTGTATATACATAACAACGAAATATATGTACATATAACACCATACACACAACCAACATTATACAATGCATCATACAAAACAATTATCTAAACCAGTATATTTTCTATATTATCTATTATCTATACCAATATGGCAAGATACGACAATATTTTTACTATTAGTAGTTTTATAATAACATTATTAATAATACAATACTACGCCTCTCTGTTCACCCCATCGCTGTACCTTGTGAAAACCATATTTTTGTACATTAATATAAACTGATTTTTGCTTGGACATTGCTTCATTTCCTCACTCACACTGTTCCATACTTTCACACCAGTAATCAATACACAGAAAGTTTTCATAGTTCCCAGCAAGCATTTTTTGGTTTAAAAAACGTCTAATAGCCGTCTACATGAAGACCTGATGTCTAGGGTAAATCACAGCTGAATTTGGGCTGTCAGTGAAAATTTGGTAGACGTCTAACCATAGCCAAAGTGTAGACGTCATCAATTATACGGCTATGTAGAGACCATGTCCAAAAAATGGAGATAAACATATTTTAATTACTATTGACTCTCCATACGTGATTGAATATCATACCGCATGCCATCTGCAATGGCGAAAATTACATTTAATCAATTTCAAAATTAAATCGGCTAGATTTGGGTTACATGTAGCTAGACTAAATCGGAGCTAAATATAGCCAATACATGTAAATCACAACTATTGCTTGCTGGGAATTGTGCATATGCTTAGTATTTTAAAGTTGTATTCACCCCTCAGATTATGACCCCCCCCCCCATACCATTCCCAAACAGATTTTGAATGTTTCCTGGTAGTTCATTGTTTCTTGCCTTGTACATTAATGTTGCTGTCTGACAAGAAACGATGTCAATGAATTTTAATAATTTTGACTGTAGAAATAATTGATTAGTGTTGTGGTGACTATCCAAAACAAATTAGTCACACGCAGCATGATTAGGGGAGTTCTTTAACGCATGTCTACTGGAATCACAATGTCCAAACAATCCTTTTGCATTTGGGTGAGACGTTCCCATTTATTGTAAAAATACTGAAATGCGGCAGGTTACAGAGGAAATTTACCTTATTGAAATAGATGCGTCTGGAATAGTTGAATCAGGAGAAACGTCACATACCTCACGGTAAGAACCGCGTATCCCTTCACCTCATGTGTGTCTATACAAACAATTCACTAACCTCTGACCTGTAGCCCTTCACCTGTCCTGAGACTTCCTGTGCAGGTAGGGACATGTTGCCCTCTAGGGACCAACACCACAAATACACATACACATCAACAATTTCCATTTAAACAGTGCAACCATATTATTTATATTTACTTCAAAGATATTAAGCAAACTACACATGAGATTAAGTGGCTCCTTCAAGTGTGTTCCAAATAGCCGACCTTATGAATGGTCCTTATTGCTCTCTTTTGGAGTGATTAGTTTCAAGTTTCAGGTTTATTTCATTTATATAGCACCTTAAAAAGCAAAGAGCATTTGCACCAAAGTGCTTCACAGGCAACATGTCGTATACACATAGGCATAAAGACATGTAAAATACAGACCAACATCAATTTATCAAAGAATAGAAATAAAAGTTATTAAAACCCAGGGTGATCAGATGAAAATAAAAACAGATTAAACGCTATTAAAAGCCAAAGAGTAAAAATGGGTCTTAAGGTGCTTCTTAAAAGCCTCAACAGAATCAGACCTTCTAATGGCTTCTGGCAGGCTGTTCCAGAGCCGGGGGGCTGCAACAGAAAAGGCCCGGTCACCCGCCTTTGTTTTCTGTGAACATGGCACAGCCAACACACCACAGTCTGAGGATCTGAGGGTTCTGCTGGTGGTGTAAGGGGTGAGAAGTTCTGAGATATATGAAGGGGCGAGACCATGGAGGGATTTATAAACAATCAGAAGAATTTTGAAGTGTATCCTGAAATGAACGGGGAGCCAGTGTGATGATGCAAGAATGGGAGTGATGTGGTCTAGCTTCTTTGTTCTTCTTCATAACCAGGCAGCAGCGTTTTGGACTAGTTGGAGACGGGAGACAGTGGTCTGAGTAATACCTGAGTAGAGGGAGTTGCAGTAATCCAGCCTGGATGATATGAATGCATGAACTCTTTCTTGGTCAGAGGGTGATAGGAAGTGCCTGATTTTTGAAATGGTTCTGAGCTGAAAGAAACTGGACCTGACAACTGAATTTACATGCCTGTTAAAACTTAAGTTACTGTCAAATAAAACACCCAGGTTCTTTGAATGCGGTGTGATATAGGTGGAGAAGGGGTTGAGGTTCTGGGCGTTAACAGTAGTATGATGTGGGGGGCCAAAGAGTAAGACTTCTGTCCTGTCCTCATTCAGCTGGCTAAACTTGCGCTTAGTGACTGTAGTGAAGTTTTATAGCAGTTTCCCCACACCTCAGCACAATAGTGTAAATATGGCAAGACTAGACAACAGTAGAGAGTGTGAAGGGACTTGCAATCCATGCTTTGCTTTGTTTATGACTGCACATGTTTAATGTGTGGCTTCCAGCTAAGCCTTTCATCCATTAGTAGAAAGCGAGAGGGGAGATGCTGAGGAGTCAGGAGCAGAGTTCAACGCCTTTGCATGGCATTGAACAGTATATGAACATGTTAGAATATGTGAACACACTAATTTAACATTAGCAGCATTAAAAACACTTTTTTTTATAGTTTCACGTGATTATTTATCATTTTTTAAACTGGTTTGTATTTCTTAAGTTGAAAACTTAAACAGTGGACATGTAAAAATGAACTTCATAATTTAATTTTTCATGCCTAAAGAGGAATAAAACACTCAAGAAAAAAAATCTTGACTGAGGTCGTAGTAATTCATGCATGAAAGGGTTAAGTGACTCAAAATTCACTTCGTCTTTCGTGGGTTCTGGAACCATTTTGTCTCTAAAACCATCCCCCATGATAGAAAGGAGGTTTAACCGTTCACAGTGACTGGTTGCTGAATTACAAGTATGAGGAAGATGGATTAAAGTTGGCGAGCCATCTTATCTGCAGGTCACATGACCTCCCAGGACCCCTTTGTTTTTGAAACAGAAACGCATTAAGTTCTCTCTGCCTTTCTGCCCCAGGGGACACATGTAGTGATTCACCCTTTCCTATGAAATGAAGGAAGTGAAACGTCTGTTAGACACTCTGCATTCATCTCATAAATTCTCCCGTCACGTCCCTCCTCTGTGCCTCACAGATCTGTTTTCAGCTACACTGTTTTTTCGGTTCGTGTCACAAACACAAGTTTAGCCGAGGGTAACACAGCAGCAGGTCTCCACATTGCTTCAGCCATGGGCAGGGACTGTGGTCCTCGCCAAAAGTGGGACAGCCTGCTCAGTATATGTTTCCCAAGCGTGAGGAAAACCAGACCTGAACCTGATCCACCATCAGGTGAGTCTCACCGAACTTACTTATCTTTTTTCTTCTAAAAAATCCTCCTCCTGCCTTCCTCCTGAGCGCAGATGTTCTCTATAGTCTGAAAACCTCTCTGAGGCAGTCTTGGATTTGGACCAAGTTTGACTTTCTGATGTTGACTTGAACCCTTGTGGCCATCTAAAACTTCACAGATAAGTTGCTTTTTCTCCTCTGTAATGTAAAGCGTTCAGGTGACTACATCTGTGCACAGTTAAAAAACTACATTATCTATCAGTTGAAGATGGAGGCACAGTGCTCCTGCTTTAAGATAAGATCTGCTGGTCTTAAATAAACATTTTAGGTATTATTTTTATTGCCAAGTGAGGAACTAATAAACAATTAATGCTAATAAACCCCAGTTTGTGCTCATGTTCTTTACAATGTGGTGTTTACAGCTGTTGAGAATGTGAACTGTTTTTCTGTTGAGGTACTTCATCCATCTGTTTTCCCCTTAGAGCCGCCCCTGGCTGATTTGGTCCAATTTACAGCCAAGACCCCACCCCCAGCATCACTGAGTCGGTCACCTGAGGCCGATTCAGTGATGCTGCTAAATCCGGCTCTGTGGATCTTTGTGGTGCTGGCCACAGTGGGGTCCATCGTGGCTCTGGTTCTGTGGTTTCTCATATACAAGCGACAGACCCGCAACATCAGCATCTCAGGTAAGGACACTGAGGGTTTAAATGATTTATTTGATTTGATCAAGGTTCACATAAAGGCCTACATATCCCAGGATGCTTAGCAGCTGACTGTTAAGCTTCAGCATTCTGTTAGTCTTGACTTTTCTGGAGAGGTTGAATAATTGTTGAAATCATGGGTCTTCAACAGGAGGTCTGCAAGCCTTAGAAGGTCCTCAGAGTCACTGCATTTTTTTCAACAATTAAACACATTAACATGACTCTAACACATTATGAGCAAATATAATTTATAGCAAGCCTATTTGTAAGACAAAATAACAATAAATTAATATACAGTACACAACACTGATGTTAGGCTATCTGTTACCCATGAATCCTAGTCAAATATTGCTTAGTATTGTACGCACCATATGAAGCAGTGGGTCAGTTATAATATATTCAACATCATACCTGCATTTGAACATGTCGTCAAGCTAGTTTGCGTTTTTATTCACTCTGAATTTTGTCTGGATTCTGGTTCCGGTCTAGAGAGCGGATGCAGAATTCACCAAATTCACCAAAGTAAAAGTGTTCACCAAAGTAAAACTTTAAATTCTGACGCACCATCGATTTGGGGTGATGAGGGGTGTAAGAAAATCGATTAACTTAATGGCTTGGGGCTTTTCTTGTAAGTTATATTCTTTAAATTAAAAGTTTCACCGCATTTTTATTAGCTTGGTGCTTTTATTTTGACGGAAAAGCACATCCATCAAATTCCGGATCCTGTCTCACTCGCCCTGGTTCCGGTACCTTACCAAAACTGCCACTAACGGCCCCAGACTAGTCAGTTAGCCACTCAATCTACAGCAGGAAACAGCATTTGAAAATAAACCATGACCCACCAGTTGGGAACCACTGATTTAATCTAGCAAAACGCTGAATGAAGCAGTTCCACATTGGGACTGAGCTCGAAATGCAACAATGCCGGTGTGTATTTCCAAAGCGCTGTCAATCACAAAGGGGTTCAGCCTTTTAGACAATTCCCCCAATCATCATGCATACACCATGTCCTCTCCCGCCTACCGCTCCATTAGGTCCCAGGGAAGCTGAGCCTCCCAGGAAGTGACAATGTTGTCGCATTCATCCAATGACCGTCTCGCTTTGCTGCATGAAAAAAACCTGCTCAGCGCTGTCTCATAGGAATGCTTGGAGGCTCTGCGTCCACCACACTGACATGAGAATGTATGACAGGGAGGTCGCGTTTGAAAAATGGTGATAAACAGCTGATGTTTGAACATCATAGTCGTGGTGTGAAATGCATCTTAGCGCACGTTTAATGCAATGTAAATTCTTATTTTAATGTAAATTCAGTAGTGCATATTTGACCATTTCTTCTATGAAATTTTAGGGCAAGTTCAGCCTCCCTCTCAGAGCAATCGTCCCTGGTGGACACTGTGTTTGGTTTGTCCGCCCTTGGCTACAGTAGAAACATGGCAGTACACCATAGGGGACACGCTCCCTATGTAGATATAAACGCTCATTGTAAGGTAATGAAAACAGACTTATTTCCAGGTGATTGTACCCCCTATATAGCCTCCTAAACCCTACACACTGGACCTTTAAATGCTCTTTCAGAAGCTTCAGAGTGAGGTTTCTGGGAAAACGCTGAAGAAATTGAAGCATTTTTGCATTGAATAGATACATTTTGAAATATTGCGTGTAAAAATCAACTATCTGTGGCTTTATTTTGAAAATATCAGTGTCATTATAGAAGTTTAAACACCTAAACAGATTAAACTCTCCTTATAGAAGCAGCTGCTGAAATATAATACATAGTCTCGTCAGAGTGTATTGCTAAAGAGCCAGAGATATTAACTGCAGAGATAACAGCTGATCCTTCAGGTTTTGGGTTAAATCTTATTTCCGTGACTTCTTTTACATCACGACACCATGTCGTTTTTTAAAGTCTTCAACCAGTGGCGGCCATTTCTCTTACTGCAAGGCGAGGATCTGACATGTAGAGCAGGCGTCTGAGAGTGGTGCGGAGGAAGTAGGGCTGCAGGCAGGCAGGTGATGAAGTGTGACGTTCATCACAGTAGAAACTCCACAGTTTCTGTTCTCTTCTTCTCAGACGTCCCATGGGTCAGCCCCGCTTTCTTACCAGCTATTCTGGTTTCAACACACATCCTTTGGTTAGGCAGGACAAATGAGGTCTCACACAACCTTACAAACACTTAAACTGACAGAAAGATACATAGAGAGGCACCAGCAGCAGGATTGCGTGCACTCTGTCGTATAACGGCTCTATGTAAAAGTGTGCTGATTAAATCTTGAATTTAAAAATAACCCTGACAGTCATGTGATCAGCATGCCTTTATGCACAGCGGCTTCTCTGAGTGACCCTTGTGCAGATGAAAGCCTTTATCTGCCCGAGCTTTTCTGCTTTATGTTATGGTCATGATTATACCAATGTAATCATGACCATAACTTTAATCTCCTGGAATGGAAGTCTTAACCCCGTTAAATAAAACTAAATCTCAGGACTGAGGAGGAACAAGATTCACTTTATCAACAGCATGGTTTTGTCCTCACTGAGTAAATTGTCTGTCAATAGACCTTTATCCATGGGACAGCCAGGAATGTCAAAAACTAGATTAGCAGAGTGGGGACATTCAGCTTTGCCCACTTAGCTGCTGTGAAACACATCATTGTGTCACACATGATGTAACGCAGGAGTCTGATGCTCATCCTAAAATGGTGAAAAGGTGTTTTAGACAGAAGTCGACTAAGAGGAGGAATTAGTGTTCTATAAATGTATGAATAAATACACACTGTGATGCCACACAGCTGGTTCAATATCAGCAAAGTTTCCCTTTATATTCATTGTCTTGTGTGGCAATCAGCAGTGATGTGGTGGTTCACTTTTACACTGTGATCTGTAGCCATATTTCAATGTTGAAGGTCGGTCTGGGCCAGCTGGGAAGAGAATAGTCATAGATTTGTTAGATTAAAATCTAATCTATGAACTATATTAGATTTAAAAGTTGAACTATGAAGGCTTTTGTGCGAAAAAGATGATCGTGACCATGATAATTTCATGAACATCGAAAATGTTTATGGACCCCCCTGAACCCTTGCAGGGTCCCTGGACTCCACAAGTTTCAAGACTTTCAGACTTTTCAAGACAATTTAAAAGTACTTGTGAAGCATAGCATAGGTATGGAAACTTTGGGATTCATGACCCTACATTATAAATCACACTGTCACGACATTATTTTTCTCTTGAACTGAATGAATTTCAGCCAGCTGGCGTACATGTAGGGAGATGTGACGTGGGGAGAAAATGAAGAAACATACGAGATGGTCAACAAAATGTCTCACATCGCCGCATATTAGAGCTACATACAGAAAATACATTTGCAGTTGTGTTACATCACATGGAAGATTACTATAACAATTAGTTTTGGTACACACAACAAAATTCCCTAACTCCTCCAAAACTTTCAAGGATTTTACTGATTCTTCCAGGTTTTCCATGACCGATGACTCCCTGCCACGGCATACTGAGTGGCTCTCTTGATATGTAAAGAGAGCTCCAGTTCAGTCATACAAACGTTTGTTCAAGGAGCTCCTGTCACACAATATATTGAACTCAAACTAGATATTCAGTGACACACTCATGTTTCGCTTGTTTGTGTTGCAGAGGACGCAGAACGGCGTCAGGAGCCTCTTCAGAAAACAGAGCCACCTGCCAAAATCCACCTGCCGCCTCCAGAGAGAAACGGTCAGGCTGAGATGTTGCTGGGAGCAGCATGGGCCCTTTCACCCTGCCCTCACCTGCACCTGGGGGCCCAGACAGGCTCAAAGTGGGAGGAGGGCTTCACTGCATGCAGAGACCCCGCAAAACATGCTGGGACAGAGGGGGGCAGAGGGCCGCCTGCGTGCAGCACAATGAGGGAACACCGCATCCCACTTCCTGCCACAGAGCTGGGTGGCACCGCGTTAGTTACAACTAAAACTGTGTAGGGCTGTGTGTGTGTGTGTGTGGATAATCTTCTAACATGTTTTTTAAAACAATTTTCTACTGCTGTTGTTTTATCTCACTGCCTTGCTTGATGAATACAAGTGTCATGATGTAGATTGGTGTCCAATAATACCATGTAAGACTGTTTATGGTGTCGTGTACTTTGCTGCAAAGTGTTGTTAAAAGACAAAACAAACAAACTGCTCTGAATCTTATGCTATATTTTAATAAAACACAAAACCAAAATCATCACAGAAACATTTCTGATGTTCTGAAAACAAAGGTAGCATTGTTGTGTTGTGAAAGAGAAATATTCTCAGATCTCCGCTATATTACGACAAGAACTGCTTGGATATAGTGTCATTGTCTCTGCAGCAGAAAAGGCTATTTACACGGTAAATAATTATGTCAATCTTTCTCAATCAGTGAGCTTCCTGCAGGCAACATCTAAACCTAAACGGAGACCTGTTCAAAGTACAGTCAAGAAGAGTACACTCAGTATCAGCATTAGGATTGTGTTGTTTTTAAATAGATCTCAAAGGAGGAGTCACACTAAGACCCATGTAGGTGTGATGATAGCTATTTGTGACTTATCACTGTCCACAGGGCAGGAAGGTTATGTGTTACAAAACAGAAATAAGAAAAGTCCTCCTAACACATTTCCAGGTACAATTTATAGCCATTATTTTATGGGAAAATGTCACTTTGGTGCCCCCTAGTGACAGTATCAAAACATACACTGGCAGATTTACTCATCTTTAGGCCACTTTTACTATTTGTTACTGAAACAAACATCTTAAATGATATTCAATCAGTACCTGAGGGTGGATTTTTCATTTTAAATCAGTGGTTCCCAACTGGTGGGTCGCAGGTTCATTCTGAATGGACTGCAAGTGAGCTCTTAAAGTGTCAAGTTTGTAAAACCACACTTTATTTTTAAGTGCAGTGAATTTACAGCACAGAGCTTTTATTTTGAAGTGCCGTTTCCTGCTGTAGAGTGAGTGAATAACGGACATCTCCTTGACAGAGACAGCAAACTAGCTCCACAACATGGCCAAACACAAGTGTGACGTCAAATATATTAAACTGTGTGGACCTCGAATGAATGACTAAAGAGAAATCTGGACCCTGTGGTTGGACCAGTTGGGAACCACTGGTTTAAAGTAATGCTTCACTCCCAAATGAGCATTCATATGTCAATTCATCACCCCGTGTTACGCTGAACTCAGGAAAAAAGCTTTGCTTTTCTCGGTGAACGAAGAATCCAAAGATGAATTGAAGTCATAGGGGTACACATTTATCAACAGCAAAACATTGGTTAGAAACTCTTCCACAACTCAAACAGTATAATCCAAGTCTCATTTATCCAGTCGTATGCTTGCTACGTCACAAACACATGTACTTTTGCAGAAACATTAGTATTTCAGTCAGACAACTTACAGGTTGAAATGTTTGCACTAACATATTCCCATTACCTTAAATGCTAGATCGGAGGCAACTGGACTTGCTTGAGTTCCTTGAAGACGCTTCACCTCTCAACCAAGAGGCTTCTTCAGCTCTAATGGACTCTGTGTGGGGGGGAACACTTACAGAGTCGTTAAGGTCACGTGTGAGTCGCTGACCCACCTGACCATCATGTGTGTCGTTAGCGTCAGATGGATCCAGGTGTGAAAGGGTGAAAAGTCGTCTGGGGAAGGATCCCAAGACTGCATTGAAGGTGGATGATAAGTGGTGTCGTAGGCCACCTCCTCTGTTTAACGATGGTCGTTCCAATTTAACGTAGATGTCTTCTTTCACGCCTCTTTCAAACCATCTGTCTTCTCTGGCCAAGACGTGCACATGCTGTCCTCGAAGGAGTGTCCCTTCTACTCTAGATTTAATGGACAGCTACATACATCAGATAAATGAGACTTGGTTTATACTGCACAAGTTGTGTAAGAGTTTGTGAACGGATGCTGTTGCTGTTGATTTTTCCAAGTCAGCGAGAATATCCTCAGTTTTTGGAGTCTTCGTTCACCGTGGAAGCATTTTTCCCAGATTCAACCTAACATGGGGTGAGTGAGTGGCATCTCAGTGATCATTTGGGGGTGAAGTATTCCTTTATCAAAAAATAGAGTGATAAACTGTTCATCTAATGCGGTGTTGAAGTGAAAAAGTGTCGAAGAGCAAAGAGAGAACTGAGACCCTATGGCAGGCACATTTATAATTACATTAACAAATAAAGTCTCACTTTAAACACGCCTGCTTGTTCCACCGCTGCTCCACTGTCACTTACAGAAACCCAGCAGTGTTGATTCAGGCAGGTAAAATCTGACACTTCTCTACAATGTCCTCTTGGTGGTAAAGCTCCTCTCATCACAGGTAGGTGCTTGGGTTGTCAGTGACAGCTAGGTGGAAGTACTCTGGCTGGTTCTCCCCCTGCAGGCTGCTGTTGGTCTCCCTCCGGCGCACTTTGGTGGACAGGGTCTTCCTCATTTTAAAGCTCTCGCTTCCAACTCCACGGCTCTCAAGACTGGATACGATCATCTCGGCCAGGTCCTGCTGGAGCCGCTGGAAGTTCTCCCTGAGTCAGTGATGAGAGGATTATTTTAGATTATGGATGCAAATGTGGGAATAGGCTTCTACAATTTCTCAACTCATACATTAGGGTGGGTAATAATCATCATCACATTATACATTAATATATGCATACATATTAATAAACTGTGTTTTTTAGTGTTTGGAGAAAATGTAGCTGACATTGTGTTTCACTCACGCTGTTGGAGGTGTCGGCAGGTTGTAGTTCCCCCCAGTCACTCCTGTTAACCAGTATGTCATCTCTTTGCCTTTACCCTGTCAGTCAGGTACACATGGACACACACACAGGAAATAAGAGTAGTAAAGACAGTTTGTATGGCTCACATTTGATGTAAATCCCAGGATAGATGAGAACATAAAAAGCCAAAGCAAACCCGGCTAACCTTCAGGTACGTCTCTCCTCTTTGTTCATACTCAAACTTGCAGTCTGTCCTCTGTAGGATGTTGATGGTGGACCGGCTGACGTGGATTCTCAGAGCTGAACAGATGACATGAGAAAGAATCACGAGAGTCTCTTAAGATCAGAATCAATCATGTAACTTGGTTAAAATACTGTATGGTGTGTGTGTCATCTCTTACGCAGGCCCGTGGACTCCATGCGTGACGCAGTGTTGACTGTATCTCCAAAAAGGCAGTAGCGAGGCATCTTGTTCCCCACCACTCCTGCTGCACACGGTCCTACACACAAATACACATATATGATATGAAGAGGCCCAGATATCTTTGGAGGCAAGCAAGACAGCAAGAATGTAAAAACAAAATCCTCCATCAGTTAAGACCACATAACTCGAGCCTCTCACAGCAAAAGGGGAGAGGCACAATGGGAGACATCCCTTTAAAGGTGAGGTACCCCCAAGGGTGAACATAGGGGTACAGAAACTGGACATCAAACATCCAACTGAAACATATTACTGCTGTATAATTGACCCTGTTACTTATATATGCATACTAAATGGAGAGATGTCAGAGCGAGGGGGCTGTCCATGGACAGGCATCCCAAGCAGTTGGAGGTTTGGTGCCTTCCCCAAGGGCACCTCAGCAGTGCCCAAGAGGTGAGCTGGCACCTCCCCAGCTATCAGTCAACGCTCCATATTTAGTCCGGAGAGACTTGAGCTGCAACTCTCCGGTTCCCAACTCAAATCTCTATGGACTGAGCCACTGCCGCACCAGTTACAACTGGTGCACAGCATGTATCCTCGGTATAAATAAAGTCTGCCTTATCTTAAACATTTCTGATCATTTTTAACATCTATGATGATGACATGAATGAGAAAGGTGTGTCTGCTGGTGTCTGGCTTATCTGTAGCCAATCATTTCTATTATTCAGCCACTAGATGTCAGTAACATCATTGCACACAAGAAGGAAAACTGAGTTATGATCATTCTTCTTGTAGTTTAATCACTAACATTGTTACGGTGTGTTATTGCCACCTTGTGTGTTTTTTAAATTATTTCACACATATAGCCATCACTATTGACTCACTCCTCTCCAACAGACATGTGAAGACACATCTTATTACTATATAATGACGAAAACTCTGTGTGTGTGTCTGTTCCAGGTTTTTCTCCTCACTGTCTTGGTCAATCCATGTGAAATTTGGCACAGTGGTAGAGGGTCATGGGAGGATGTGAATGAAGCAATATTACATCAATTGGCCAAAGGGGGGCGCTATAGCAACCGACTGCAAACTTTGAATGGGCATATCTCATGCCCCTTATGTCGCAGAGACATGAAACTTTGCACAGAGATGCCTCTCCTCATGAGGAACACATTTGCCTCAAGAACCCATAACTTCCGCTTATATAGATTTTCTGCCATTTTGAATTTTTCGAAAACACTTCAAATTGATCTCTTCCTAGGAAGTTTGAGCGATCTGCATGAAACTGGGTGAACATAATCTAGGGACCAATATCTAAAGTTCCCTCTTGGCAAAAGTTGGAAAACTTACTAAAACTGAGCTTCTATAAGGCAATGAATATTGTGGAGGGCGTGGCTCATCACATAAAGGTGTATAACATCTCAAGGGTTTCACCCATCACCACGCAACTTTGTAGGCATATGACCACACATAATCTGAGGGGACCCCTCCAATATTGACCCCATCAAACAAAATGGGGGCACTAGAGAGCTAATTTCTTATCTAGGCCTAACCGCCATATGGATTTTTACTAAACTTGGTAGATATGTAGAACAGGACGCCTCAAGGTGACTGGAGAAATATAACTCTAATTGGCAACTGGGTGGCGCTATAACAACAGAAAAATGCTTACAAATGGCTAAAATGCGACCGATCGCTGTGGCTCCCCCTGTGGACCAATGTTGGTTTTTTTCTAATTTTTGGTATGACTAAGTCATGGTATGGTATGCTGTACATAATCATGGAAACTGTCAGTCAGTCATTCTGTCCCAATTTTTTCTACTCACTGACGTGGTCAATCTATGTGAAACTGCACATAGGCATTGAGGATTGGCATAGGTAGAAGGTGACAAAGCTACCAATGGGTATGGACTAGTTCACATTAAGTATAAAATGAGGGAAAATAGAAAATGTTGTATGTGGGGGAATTGGATGTAGATAAATGTGCTTTGATAAAGACAACTGGAAAAGTAAAATGTTACACAAAATAAAAGTAGTGATAACATTTCTAGGCTACTTTTAAAATATTTTATT